TGGTTGGAGGAGGGAGGGCACAGGGGCTGCTGGTGCCATCGCTCCGTGGCTGTGCACACCTCGGGAGCTGCTGGTGAGCAGGGGCCGTGGGGATCCTCGAGCAGCCGCATGCAGCATGCTGCTGCCAGCACGTTCACAGCCTTCACCAGAAGCGGTTCTTCCGACAGGATAAGTAATGTAGGTAAATGGGAGCATCTCACAAAAGGGAACAGCAAAATAAGAAACATCTCTGTAACAGCAATGCCCTGGTGCGTGCCAGAGCCGGGGAGCTGCAGGGGTGAGCACGGAGCCGCGGCTGCGCCTGTCTTAGGGCACCCTGCGGGGTGCAGCGGAGTGGGGTCGGAGCCGTGCTGCCGAGGGGCCCCTTGGCACGTGGGGAAGCTGCTTTTTGGGACCTGACTCTGTCTCCTTGTAAGTACAAAGCTGTTCAGGGATGAGCACCCCGAGTCTGTTCTTCAGGGTGAAACAAACTCGGTGTCCCCACCGGTGGCACCGCCGTGCCCCTGCTCTGCCGCTGGGCGCTGTCCCGTGGTGCTGTGGCCTGAGGGGGTGTTTGCAGGCAGCGTGTGGACCCGGCTGCCTGCGTCCTCCGGACACTGCAGGAGGAAATGCACAGAAATTCCCCAGCTGACTTGGGTATGGCGACAGAGACTAATTCCGCTGATGGTGGGGAAAGGCTCTTTAGCTGCATTAACGAGCAGAAATCTGATGGATAAAGGGGAAGAAAATCAGTCTTCTCTGCATCACTCACTGGAGACTTTATCAGACTTGCCACAATTAGGAAAATTCACATTGAAGGCATCATTTATAAAGGACTAGAATAAGAGAAAACATTTGGCCCAGAGGGAAGCAGAGAAGGAATCTAAGTCGCCTCTCATCTTTCATCATTTGCCTTCTCCCTCTCCTATCTTGGCAGATCCAGTATTTTGCTTTGTCTCCTTCAGGTGACTAATCATTAGACTAATTAGTAGTTAATCAATGTTTAATTAAAACATAGCTGTTAATTACTGGAGGTGCTACTGTAGGTTGGATGTGAAATGTTATGAAAATGTTTTTAAGGGCAGTTTGGATGATTGTGGCCTCTCTCCCTCATCTCTGCTTGGCCGGGTGCTCTCCCCCGGGACCCTCCTGGCCCAGCTGAACCACGGGGACGTTTGGTGCGCCCTGGACGGATGCTGCCCCGCTGTGTGCTTCCCAGTGAGCATCCAGCCAACAGCAAAGTGCAGTGGTGCTGCTGCTGTTCCTTCATCTCCCTGCTCAGCCTTGGTCTGCTCACCTAAATTGTGCTTCAGGCTGGGGTCTGGCTCCAGAGACGGAGGCTTCGTCTGCACCTTCCTCTGTGTGCAGGAGCCTGGAAGGTTTCTGTGCACAACCCATTGAAAAAAAAAATACTGAGCCTGTTCTGTATTCCCCCCCGATGGGTGTCTGGTCACCCATGTGCGCTGCTGCCTGCAGGTCCCAGCTCACGCCACCCCCATGGGGAGCCCCCACCTGCTCCGTAATTCTGCTGCTCCCTCCCCACTCAGCCCCGTGCCCTTTGGGGCTGCAGGGACTGGGGTCACTGTGCCTTGTCCGAGGGCCCCAAATCCCTTATGGATACACACAGAGGGTGCCTAGGAGAGGCAGGGGCTGGGGAGCACCCCCAGGCAGAAATCCCCTCTGCCTCCCCCCGGGGCTGCCTGGCCTCTCCCCTGCAGCCTGGGCGCTGACCCGGTGGTGAACAGGCGCTCCGCAAGTGCTGTACATATGCTAATCGCACCATTTACATTCTCTCTGCTCTTTACATTCCTTATTCCACTTTACTTGTCATTTTATGGCTCATTTTAATTTCTTGAGAGCAGGCCCATAGGATAATAAGGCCTGGTGCTGCGGAGGGTCCCGAGGCAGACAGCGTGGCTCCAGCCAGACGCAGAGGCGGGCAGCGCAGCCAACCTGCCTGCCTCTGCCTCGGGTGGGTGCCGTGCTCCTCACCTGGGGAAGGTGCAGGGGCTTCTCTGCTGCAGCGGTGATTTTGGGGTCCCTGGGGAACTAGCTGCCTGCCTTGGTGCTTCCCCTGCTCCTCCTCTGGCTGTGGTTTCTGTGGGAAGGGGCACCCTTCGCGGGGGTCACTAATCCCCGTGCGTTTCCATCGCACCCACGGTGTTTGCTGCGAGGCCACGGGGAGGATCCGGAGCTCTCCAGATGGAGGCACTGGGGAATCTCAGCCCTCGTCCCGAGCATCCCACCTGGGGCTGACACCGAGCAGAAGGGGACTTGCTCTGCCTGCCGAGGGCACGGCGTGGGGGCTGCAGGAAGGTGATGGTGCTGTGTTGGTTTGCTTGCTTTGTACCAATGGATACGTTATTTTTTGGGAAAAAAAAAATAAAATCATTTTTTTCCCCTGCTAGTTAGAGAAAGATGCTGACAACAGACCAGGATTTTAGTGATTTAGGTGGTGACAATGCAAGGAAAGGGAGCTATGTTTAGAAATAATTGCTTTGTCTTTTGCAGAGGTATTAGTGCTTCCATGCTGGCAGTTACAGGAATTAGCTGAAGGTATTGGTGACATAAATACAGAAGCAAAATTATTGCTACTTATAATCACTTTCATGTGTGTGAGAGGGTGGTGGAAAGGATGGAGGGAGGAGAAGGAAGCCCCCAGAAGGGCCGGCACTGCTCGGCGCTCCCAGTGAAGTCGGCACTTCCCTGCGGCTGGCTCTGGCGCTGCGGGGAGGTGCGTGGGCAGCGGCTCAGCGGGCTGGGAGCTGGGGCAGACGGAGCTCCCCCACCCAAACAGGGCCCTGGGGGGGCTGCAGGAACCCCGGCTGCTGGCTCGGAGTGAGAGCCCCCCCCCACCGCCCACCTCTGTGGGGCTGCCTGTCCCGGGGACCAGCGCCAGCCCTTGGGGAGCGATCTGGGAAGTGATCACTGCGCTTTTTAATTTTTTTTTTTTCTTAACAGTAGCGAGCGGAGCCTGACATTTTGCTTCTAAAAAATCATTAAACAGCCAAGGAAGGAGCCAGGGTGTAGTGAAGAGAACAAAACGGTTCCAGATGAGCAGCTGCGAGCGGCGCGGTGCAGCTGCAGCGGGGAAACTCGCGGCGTGGGGGCTTTGTGGCCGTGGTGTCCCCGGTCACCACCCGCGTGGCAGGGAAGGCAGCTTGCTTGGGTCCTGGCGGGCACGCACATGGCACCGAGGTGGTGGGGATGGGGTGGGGATGGTCCCTGCAGCCGGGGCAAGCTGGAGAGCTGCAGGCACGAAGTGCATGGAATGGGAACGGTCGGATCCTGCTGCAGTGCAGAGGTGCACGGCCAGGGAGAGCGTTCGCTCCCTGTCCTCCTGATCCCAGAACCTGGAGCACCCTGCCCGGGCTGCAACTTGGGCTGAGCAGCAAAATGGGGGGGGTTAGGCTGCCGCAACGTTTTGGCTGTCAGAATGGGGCTGGATGACGGTGTTTAAGGTCAGTGCTGATGGCCCCGTGGGGATGTGGGTGCTCACCTGAGACAAGGCAGCCCCGCACCCCATGGGTGCCCAGCGTGGCAGCAGTCAGGAGCACGAAGGGTGCCCCAGGAGCACAGAGGATGCCCTGGCAGCACAGAGGGTGCTCTTGCAGCAGCAGCCCATGGGTGCTGCTCCCCAGCCCAGGTTCTCATGGCCAGCCAGCACTGCTGTGCTGCGGCAGGGCTGGGTGTGCAGCGTGAACTCGGGTGTGGGAAGGAACCGATCTCTGATGGAACAAGGCCCTTCATGCTTTCCGATATTAAATTCCATGCAGAATATTAAATAATTTCCTCTTCAATGATCCCAGTAAATTTAATTAGCTCTTGTTCCCCCGATAGAGTTGTCTCTCTGTTCCTGAAGCGCTGCATTTGGAATGAAGGGGGACTCGACTCATGGTTTAAACGCTGTCTTCCTGCAGCACACGCAGCAATCACCACAAGGTGAGGGCAGCCCCTCGATCACTGCTGTGTTTCTCTTCCCACCTCCATCTCCCAGCCTCAGCCATTCACCACTGGAGACGAGCTGCATCTGAACCGCGGGAGTTTTGTCCCAAACCTACTTGGGAAAGCACGCAGGCAGAGAAACCAAGTGCAGGCGTGGGGGCTCTGCATGGCACGGCCACCTCGGTGGTGCTGCATCGGGGGCACCTCCAGAGCAGGGCCCCCAGCACCAGCCCCAGGACGGGCTGGGCATCTGCCTTTCTCCTTCTCTGCCTTCTGTGCGCTGAGGCTGCTGCTTAAGGAAGTTTGTAAACGGTGCTCAGAAAGCAGCCCGAGCTCTGCTCGGCTGGGCGTAGGGAATCGGTGGGGTTTGGGTGACTTATCCCGGGCTGCTTTTTGCAGCTCGCGTCAAAGCCACATCCCGAGGTGGGAGCGGTGGCAGCCACAGGAGTGTCTGAGTTCCAGTAACGTCTGCTGCTGCTTCTGGTTCCGGTGGTTTGTTTGGTCGGTTTTTGATTTATTTTGTTTTGTAACTTTCAGAACCTCAGAGCAAGGAGGGGAAAAAAAAAAATCCCTTCCTGATGGAAGAGGCTAATAGAGGGTTATAAATGTGTCCCTGGCATGGTTCATTAGCTGCGATGACATATTGAGAGCTATGAACGGTATGATACCAGCAAATCAATTTAGAATTTAATCTGAAAAAGAACGTGGGGAGGTTGGATCATGCAACATGTTACCAAACATTTCTTATCAGAATAAATAGAGCAGCTTTTCTTTCACAACACTCCTCCTGCCTGGTTGCTGTGCAAAACGCAAAATAAATAAGTAAACACGTACCTGATTTACCAATGATTAATTTGCATAATTAGTGCTGTGTCAAATCACTACACCAAGGTGCAAAGCACACTTCGCTTTAGATGTTTGCGTGGATGCCTTTCCAAGATCGGCTTACCCCGTGCTTCCCAACCTCGCGAGGAGGGAGCGCTGCTGGGGACGGGGTTTCAGCAGCGGGGGGCACGCGGCCGAGTCCGTGCCAGCCTTCACGTGCTGTGTCCTGCTGTTGCAGCAAATGCCCTTTGCTGAAAACGTGTGGCCCTGGCGGGTGTCCGCCAGCCCGCCCTGGAGCCAGGGATGATCTCAGATCTGTGCCTGCCCCAGGGGGCCCAGGCCTGCAGGCTCCCTGGCAAACTTCAGGCTCCTCGGAGAAGGCACCGTTGTGAGGCTGGATCCCGGCCCTTTTCCCATCGAGTGCATGCGCAGCACAGCGGCACTCTAGGGATGCGTTGGGAACAGGGGAAGTGGCAGCAAAACATCCCGCAGGTGCAGCACTGCATCAAAAGCGTAAATACACTGAATGTTTTAAAACATGTCACCCCGTGGGCAGCTCCGGTGATGTGCTCCCCTCCTTCTGCCTGTCTAATGGATATCAGATTGTTCCAGTGATCTGAGCATCGGTTTAGTAATTGACTGATGCAATGCAATGTTCACTGATTTAATAAGTTTGTTAGTATAATAGAGGTTCAGGATTTTGCTGTTAATGCGCAGTGACAATTACATTTTAGATTTGCTCATTATGTTGCATAACTTAGCTATGAAATCTATCATAAATTGTATTTAAAAAAGCATTATTTCAGAGCACATTACCATGGCTCTCGACTCTCCGGTGCTGGAGAATGCTTTGTAGGCTGAGCTCGTCCATGACCAGGCGCGCGTTCACTTTCTGATCGGGTGTTACACGTTCTGCTTCGGGTTTTTTGGGTCAGGGCTTCTGACACATGCCAAAAAAAATATCTGAGCCCTGCTCTGTCATTGCCCTGTCCGTGCCGTGGCTGTGCGGGCACCCAGTGTTCTTCCCCAGACCTCTGGGGAGGCTCCTGAAGCGAGGTGCCTCCGGGCCTTTGATCCGAAGCAGGGCTCGGTGCGCTCACCCCTGCGCAGGGCTGGGCTCAGCTGTGCCACCTTGGAGCCAAACGAGCACTGAGCATCACCTGCGCAGGCAGCGCCTCCTTGGGTATTTGGCACCAGGTGAGCGAAGGGCTGGGAGAGCGAGCAAAGCTTTAGGGGGGGGGGTGAGCCTGGTCTGGGCACCTGCAGGTCGAGGGTCCCCAGGAGCCTCTGAGGGTGACCCGGGGGGGCTGCTGCAGCCTTCTGCTCTGCTCTGCTCTCCTCGGGCCGAGCACCATCTGTTGCATCGCAGAGATGATTTCTGCAGATCTGGAACTGGCTGTTTGGCACTCTCCTTGTTTGGGTTCTGCAGAGGGAAAAACAGGGATGAGACGTTCAGTGCTGGGGATGAGGAGGGTCCCCGCGTGCTGTGGTTCTGCTGTGGCCCCTGCTCATAGCATCTGCGTGCAAGAAAACCCCCAGGCAGAGCCGCAACAGGTCTCTTCCCCAGCCACAGCTATGAAAAGGAAAACCTCATCGTTACGGCTAAAAAAGCAGCAGCGATTTAACAACTCTGCCTTCCTCCAAACTGAGGCTCTAAATGGCAAATAGGCTGTGAAAAAAAGCTAAGAAAAACAAATATTTTTTTCCAGATTAATACTCGTTCCTTCTGGTTCACATAACAACCTTGCCAAAAGGCAGGGTTTTGTTGACTCGTGTTTTCCTAACTGCTTCTCTTCCCTCAACTGCCTCTCTCGCGCATTCTCCGTTCCCGTCCCCTCGCCGCTCCTCCTCCTCCTCCTCCTCTCCCCGGCCAGGCCCCGGTGCTGCTCCTGGCCCCGCAGCGAGGCTCCTCGGTGGGCTCCGCTCCCCCTGCCCGCTTTTCCCTGCCGGGGAGCGGGTGCAAGCCCCGGCTGCGTGCTGCTCCCCAGCCCCTTGCTGCTGGCAGCGTGGGGTTGCCTAGCAATCCCGCAGCATCGCCCCGCTGCACGCGCGCCTCCCGAGCGGCACCAGCTTCCAGGAACAGATGTCGGCAGGGACCCAGCTCGGGGGCTCGAATGCGGAGAAATTTTGCAGAGCTTCTCTCTCCCGCCTTCCCGCTTCCCCGTTCTCCAAATCTGCTGCCTAAAGCATCTTCGGCCTCAATGAACCGTGAGAAAATAGCACAGCGGGGCATAGCAAGGAGCCATCCTGGCTGAGCGCTCCCATTGTTTGGCAGGGCGTGAGAACAAGGCTGCTGCCTCCCTGACAGGGCAGCGAGGCTGGGCTCTGGGCTGCTGCTGCATCCCCGAGGGCTAAAAATATACACGTTCATCATAGAGAATGGATGTTTGGATGGATGAGGTGCGCTTGGTGCATTTCATCGTCCGCACTCACATTGCTGCTCTGCGTAACCCCGAGGGTTCTCTCCAGAGGGCTCCTCAAAGCGCTTGGAGGCAGGAACAAACGGGTCAGGAGGGGAAGGGGGAGTGGGGCCTGATCCTGGAGTGCCACACGTGGACTCTGCAGGACAGGAATAACACCTCGGGACAGCCCCTGCGCTGAGTTCAGGGGAAGTCACTGACTCCAGCAGGCTGCGGGTGTTCCAGATGTTTCCCAGGCAATGTAACTGGGGAAGCTTTGCCACAACCTTCGCTGCTGGAAACCACAAACGAATCACTCGAGCCAGAAAAAGCTCAGAGGTGCTCACGGTGACTCTGGCAGGGCCGTGAGGACCTGATTGCTGCATCTGTGTTGTGTAACCTCTCCCAGGTTCAGGAGAGGGGACACGACCGTCCGGCCACACCTGATTAAATGGAGCTGTGCTGCTCAAACAGATGGCGCTCATTACTATTTTAGCGAGCTTGCACAGCCGCTGGTGAGCCAGAGGAGAAAGGGCAGAACAACAGGGCCTTGAGCAGCCAGTGGCTTGCAGAATATTGCACTGCGGGTCTGCACCAGCGCTCAGCCGGCTTCCTGAGAGAGGAGGCAAACAGCAGGAGGATGGGAGGGCTGGGGGAGCCAGAGGTCTGCTCCTGCGGAAAGCTCGGGGGAGGACGATCGCATCCAGCTGCTGAGGGAGCGCCAAGATCAGCACCCAGAGGTCCTTGCCTTCGAGTTGAAGAGAAGGAAGGGTAAGGGGCTGAGGCACGCAGCGAGGTTTCATTAACCCTGGCTGTGTTGTGAGCCTGCACCCCGTGGGCTCCGTGCACCAACTTGGTTTTTGCAACATTTGCAACGAGGAACCGAAACCTCGCTCCTTGCTGCTGCCCTGGGTGCCCATCCCCGGGGCGTTGGGTGCAGGGGTAGAAATGGGTCCTGCACTGAGCCGGGGGGGCTCGCTCCTCGCTGTGCTGCCGGGGGGGGGGTCACCCCTCGCTGTGCTGCCCGCAGCCGGTGCCACCGAAAGCGCCGGGAGAAGCCCCCGGGCGCAGCCCCTCGCCCACCCGCAGGCAGCAGCGACCTCCCCTCGGGGGGGGGGGCAGGACCGGCCCGTGCCCCCCCCCCCTAATTCCGAGCCGGGAGCGCGCCTCGTGCCCCGCCGGGCCGGGAGCTGCCTCGCGCCGCGGGAACGCGCCGGGCTGCGGCGGGAGCGCGCCCGGGGCGCACCGGCCGGGCGGGAGGAGCAGGAGGTGGGCGCGCGGCTCCGCGGGGGGGGGGTCGGGCTGGGGGCAGCTCGGGGCCGGGGAGGAGGAAGAGGAGGAGGAGGAGGAGGAGGAGGCGGGGGCCGGGGGGGAGCCGGGGGGCGGCGCGGCCGCACGTGCCCCCGCCCGCGGCTCTCGGTGGTGGCGGCGGCCGGGGGCGGGCGCGTTCGTTGCCGTTGGTTCCCAGTCGTTCCCGTTGGTTCCAGCGCTGCTTCTCTCGCTCGGCGGCTCCGGGGGCGGCGGCGCGGGCGCAGCCGCGTGCGAGGCGAGCCCAGGCGGGGCCAGCCCAGGCGGTGCCGCGCCGCCTCCCCCCCCCCAGCCGCCGCCGGGCTGCCCCGGTCGCCGCTGCTCGGGAGATGCCGCTCGGCGGGCGGGGACCCGCGGCTGCCCTGCGCCTCCGCCGCCGCGGGGACCTCTGAGAGTGAGTCACCGGGGGGGGGGGGAACGGAGAAGGGGGGCGGCTCGCCCCGGTGCTGCGCCGGGGGCGGCGGGGAAGCTCCGTCGGGGCGTCCCCGGGGCCGTCGGGGTTGGGGTTTGGGGGAGCCCCGCGGGGCTGGGGGTACCGGGGGGGTGCAGCGCGGCATCGCCGTGCCCGGGGCCGCCGGGGGGGGGGGTTTCCCCTCGGGGGTGCGGCGCCTTCCCGGTGCTCGGGGCCGGGCGCTGCTCGGCGCGGCGTTCCCGGCGGCGGCTGCCGGAGTTGGCGGCTGCAGCCCTGCCCGGTGCCCGCGGAGGAAGCCTCGGCACAACTTCTCGTTAAGTTTTGCGTTACGGGTGCTTAGCGGATGGCTTCATTAGCCGCTGTTGTTAGCGGGGATGTTGCGCTAATTAAAATCACGCCCTCCAGGTGAAGGGAAAACGTAAGGAAAAGTTGGGCGAGGTGGAGCCTGGATCGGTGGGGTGAGGAGGAGGAGGAGGAGGAGAGGCTCCCGCTGGGGCCAGCAGCCTCCAGGAGCTGGCGAAGCTGCAGGGCAGAGCTCGGCCCCACCGGGAAGGGGCAGAGCGAGGCGAGGAGCGCAGCTTGGGCAGCTGTCCCCGTGGTTTTTCCCCTCCCGGTGCCGTCTCCAGGAATTTCGCTGCCAGGCTGTGCTGGCGTGCCCAGGGCTCCCTGCACGGGGAGGGAAGGAGGGAGCCGAAGCCTTCCAGAGTCACCTGCTTTATTTGTGGTGCGTGTGTAAATGCACAGCGCCGTTGTTCAGCCGCCCATATGCTGCCAAGCCTCCATCGGTGGGCATGCCAGGATGCTGCACGGCGTGCAGCACCGCGTCCAAGTGTTCCAGCGCAGATGTTTGAAGTAAACAAGCATGGGCATGGGGTCCTGGAGCTGCCGAGGTGCTGGGCAGGCCTGCGGGGGGCACAGACAGACCCTGCCCCTCTCCTCACAGCACCCAGAGCCAGCGCAGCTCCCACCCGGGGGGTTGGAGAGGCTTCGCTAGCATCGGTGTGCGCAGGCGGGGTTGGCGAGGGGGGAGAGCAGGGATGCGGGGATTTCTCAGCTTCTCACTCCAGTAAGCATGACATTAACAGCACCGACTGTTTTTGGTTGCTTTTTGTGAGGGTTTGGAACTTGCTCGCTGCCTCCACGGAAACCTGGCTCTGAGCAGGGGTGTTCCCTGCTGCGTGCTTTTCTGTCCCGGTGCCAGCCTGCCCCTGGGTCCCCTGTGGGGCTTGGGGCATGGCCGGGGGTGGCCGCACCGTGCTGTGTGCTTCGGGGGGGCTGCAGCCGGGGAATGCCTTGCTCCTGCTCCCTGCTCCTTCTGCCTGCCATTCTCCAGCATGTCCGGAGGCTTGCGGTTCATCTTGCAGCCTTTGAAAGGTGTATTCTGCTGCCGCTGTTTTATTTGTATTACAACAGTACCCGAAGGCTGCAGTCAGGCTGGAGGCCTTGTTCTGTTGGGTGCTGTGCAAATGCAGATTAAGACAGTCCGTTCCCCAAAGAGCTTCCTGGCTTCAGGCTAAAATGGTTGAGGCGTGATAAAGCCGCACAAAGCGAGAAACGGAGGCTATTTTTCTGTATAATAGATGGAGAAAGTGCTTGGAGTTTATAATTTTTGTCGAGGGATGATTGCAGCGGGTTGGGGCTGGCAGGGCTGCCCAAATCTGGCCAGTCGTTGGGAACTTGTTCTTGGCTCTGGGGAGCCGTGAAGAGGCTCTGTTTGTTATTCCAGAGAAAATACATGAGAGGTTTTTTTTTTTTTTCCTCCTTTGAAGTGATCTGTAGGATTGTTCAGCACCACAGAAAGCCTTGGCACAAGGGCACATCAATGCTTTGCTGCAGCGTTCGGTACACTCCTGCCAGGGTTACAGCTATCGCTTCTGGGGCATGGCTTTAGGATTCTCTCACATGGATCAGAGGGTCACAAATTCTGTGTAGGGAGCTGAGCTGGTACTTTTTGGGCACCAGATAAGGGGGCCCAGGCATGCAAACCTGCTGGCTGGTGCTGTGGCTGTGATCTGAACTGCACCAGATCCTCAAGGGGCACAGAGGATACCCGGGCAGGGCAGCACCCTGCAGCCGTGGCTCTTGCTTGTTTGTGGCAGTTTGGGAAGCAGCCAGGGACTGACTTCCAGAGCTGGAGGTGCTGAAGGAGGCACCACGGGCAGCCTTCTCCTCCTGGAGCCCAGTCGGTGCGAGGCAGCGCTGTTGGAAACGCGAGGCTGGCATCCCCCCGTGGGGTACCCTGTGCCTTGCCGCAGGGCTGCTGCGGTGCCTGTCTGTTCCTTTCCTGCTTCTCGTGATGGCAGGAGGGGCCCTGGCAGCCTGGGAGGTTTTAGGTGATGTCTCCGGGTTTGCTGACACTTGCTCCATGTTTTTCCCCTGGCAAACCAGCTCCCCCAGCTCTCCTTTCCCAAACCTTTCCGGTCGTGTGAACTCGGCGCGTTTCCCACTCCCGCAGTACCTTTTTATCAAGGTATGGATTTTTTCCCTTTCTGTTTCAGAATAAAGGGCTTCTCTCCCAGTTGCACTTATTTCTCCATCTCCCATCACTAGAACATGTCGTCCTTAATTACTGCGCTCACATCCCGGCGGTGGGATGGTCGGGCAGCCTGCGCGCTGCGTTTGCTGGTGTTGGAGCCTGTCTTTCCGTGCTACTGCTGCTGATTGCTAATGCTTCGCCTCCTCCTCCTGCAAGGCAAGCTGCTCCTCTCCCATCCGGGGTGTAGTTCCTGTGTGCAGCAGTTGAGCTCGTTTGCCACGATGCCTTAGGGGATGCCCCGGATCTCCCCAGCCACAGGGGAGCGCTGGGTTTGGGCACCTGGGGGGAGCGGGTGTCCCCGTTCCAGGCTCGCATCTCAAGCAGCTCTTCTAGCATGGGCTGCATTTGCTTATTCAGTAGATAAATAAAGGTTTTTAAGTGTGTGCATTTACTAAATTAGTTTGTCGTCACAATTTTTCAAATGGATCAGCTGACGGTAGAAAAATGCCTCTGAAGGTTATTGAGATAATAAAAGGCATGAGGGAAGTTCCTTAATTTATTTGAGTTCTCTTTTAATTTATGGTGTTATGGGGTGAGAGCACGCTGAATAATTAGTTCTTATGAATGATCTGCTCCGTGGAACCAGCCTCTCCATGGACCCTCCGTGGCAGAGGAGGGGGAGCTGGTGGTGAGGCTCAGCAGGGAGCGCTTTAACAGGAGGTGGTGCCGGCACGGCCAAGCCGTGTGCTGCTGGCAGTCCAGCTCCTCGTGCCTCGCCGAGGTGTGCTGAGCCCAACCCAGCTCTCTTCTCTTGTGCTGGCTGCTTGAGCATCCCCAAGTTCTTCCCAAAAGCCGACAGCAGCTTGGGGCTGGGCAGGGGCAGGCTGGTAATGGTGCGGGAGCCAGCTCGGTTGTGCCGCAGCGCGTGGTCCCCGCTGCGGGACCGGGGGGCTCTGCTGGTGACATCGCCCCCTTTTCCATCCAGAATAAGCAAACGTGAGAGGTTCAGGTGCCTTTTCCTGAGGTTACGGAGTGAGTCAGTGCCTCAGCTGGGTTTTAAAGGTGACCCGCAGAGCATTTGCCTCTAAATGGGTTTGAACGCCTCTTGCTCACTGCCGCTGAATGCAGCGCGGTGTAAAGGAGACGTCTCCAAGTGTGCGAGCTGACAGCCCTCCCACGTCTTGGCTGCGAGGTCATGGTGACCCACCCTCCCCTCCCAGCCCCTTCTGCCCCTCTGCTGGTGCTCAGCTCGGGCCTGCAGCCTCTGCTCCATCGCTTCTGCCCCCGGGTGCTCCTCCGTGCCCGGCCGGCAGCAGCTGCTTTGCCTCCCGAGCCCTTGGTAGCAGCAGGGGCTGTTTGTTGTCAGCGCTGTTCCAGTGCTTTCTGCTGGAATCGTTTGAGGTATTTCGGGATGTGCATTCTTGCAAATTAATTGACAGGCTGAGATACCAGACGAGGAAGCACATTTTTCTTCTCTGTTATTTCATTAGTTATTGAGATTAAATTTTTTTTTTTTGAAACTTTATTTTTAATAAAGCAATCTAAAACTAGCTCTCTCCTTTGCTCAGCTCGCACTCTGTGATGCTCCAGGCATCATTGTGTCTTCCAGACTCGACAAGATTGAATTTCTAATGGGTAGAAATGAGCACACAAGTGCGGGATCCCTTTTCATGTTTCGTTCTCCAGTGCGGGCGCACAGCAGCCCCTGTCCCTGTGCTCGAGCCCCAGCCCCTCTCTTGTGTCTCCTCCCCGTGTTCCTTGGCCCCCAGTGGTGCCATGGGGACGCAGCTGTACCCGCATGATTTTGAGCTCCTCTGCCTGTTGTCCCCCACCGAGCCCCTCGTGCCACCAGCTCCCTTTCAAGCTGCGCTCTCCCTCTCTCTCTCCATGTTCCTCTGAGCGCTGCAGGCAGGAGACCTGGTATTTTATTTATAGCCATGGTACAAAGCTGTGCTGCTGGCTGGGAAGCGCGTTCCTGGGCTGTGTCCTGCAGCGAGGACAGGCTCCCTGCTGCTGGAGAGCCCGAGCAGCCCCGCGGCTCCT